CATCTGTTGGTTCCCGGACCCTGGATTACATCATTCTTATTTTTATGTTAAACATACCAGTAATAAAATCAGAAGGAAAGGGAGAAATAAAAGCCTGTGTAGGGAAGTTCTCATTCCACCCAGACTTGACAGTCCTATTTTCTTCTCAGAAATCCTAGAAAACAGAGAACAAGAAGTCTTGTTGAGAAAGACGTCCTTCAACTTGACCATGAGTCAAACGAGGAAGAAAAGTTCCTCAGATGGAGAAACCAAGCCCCGGACTTCATTTGTCAGCAAATTCCTCAGGGGCTCAAAACTCAGGTCCTCCAAAGCGGAGAGCAGAAACGAGAGCAATGACCTTAAAACAACTGATTCCCAGACCAGCGATGAGCCACAGAAAACTGCCACTTTAGACACCGGTAAACCCCTGACTGCTGTCAGTTCTTTCCTTCTTAGAATAATGTCTTCCCCTGGAGATCATTGGGTTAAACTAAACCTAATATGAGTCTCTGTCTAAACATTTATTACTTAGAGGCCCGGTGCACAAAATTCATGCATGGGCAGGGTCCCTAGGCCTGGCCAGCAATCAGGGACAATCTGGGCCTTCTGACTGCTGCTGGCAGGGCCTCCCTTCATTCCGCACCACCCCCGGTGGTCAGCGCACATCATAGTGAGCGATAGGTCTTCCAGTTCATCTCCCACAGGGATAATTTGCATATTAGGCATATATATATGTTACTTAAATACTTTAAATACTTTGCTAATTTTACTTTTAAATTATCAAAAATACTATAATACTACAGAAAGGTGTAGAGAAAAATACCTGATTTCCTTTCATTTTCACGCAAATGGTCATTTTTCAAGATTCTTTTCAGTCTTTTGTTCACATGTGAGCATTTATGGTCATCAGAAACCATTCATTGACTTCCTACTATGTGCCTGCCACTGTATTTTGTAAGTGCTCAAAATACCGTCATGAAAAGCAGGACCTTATGTAAACAAGGAACCAAATGCAGATGCAATTTCAGTGTTGATAAAGGATATGAAGAAAAGCAAAGCAGGCCAAGTAGAGAAGGATGGGATGGAAGTGCTCTGTTAGACAGGATTAGAGAAAAGGAGTCTCTCATTTGGTGGCATTGGAGCAGAGATCTAAATAAAGTCAGGTATGTAGAATGAATGATAAAACCAGCCACACAGATAAATATGGGAATAGCTTTCCAGGCAAAGGGAACTGTAAATGCAAAGGCCCAAGGTGGGACTGAGCCCGGAGTGTTTGAGAGGGAGCCAGGAAGTCCAGGATGCTGACTCATAGGGTGATAGATGGTGAGAGGGAGAGGAGGAGAGACAAGTCAGTGAGGTAGCTGGGGGCTAGAACAGGTAGCTCTTGCAGTTATAATAGCCTACAAATCCCTCTTGAGTTGAATGAAGCAGTGATCCTACTTCTGAAATATATTATTATACTGCTGAATTCCTACATTGCTTCATGATATTCCTATACATAATTTCAACAGCTGCATAATATTCCATTACATTCATATGCTATAATTACTTAACCAATTCCTTTTCTTTTTCTTTTTCTTTTTTTTTACGCCTCAGTGATTATCTTTGGCTTTCCCTCTCCCATATTCCCTACTTTATGGAATTTCAGCTTTTTTTTTAAAGTATAAATTTCAAGAACCAAAATTATATATTCAAGGGTTATGAAAATAAATATCGCCAACTCTCTCTCCAAAGTCAGAATCATATTATTTGGCAATATGATTGCCACCAATTTATTATCCATTAGGTTAAATGAATTTTAAAAGCATTTTAAATTTTTTATACAAACATATACAGAAGTAGAGAGAACAGTATGAGTCTCCATGATCACCTCTCTAACAATTATCAGCTGATGGCCAATCTTGTTTCATTTATTCCTATTCTCACTTCCATCAAATACCATGTGTAGAAATTTTTTAAACACAAAAAATTTAAAACATACAGAATTGGCTTTGGAGCAGACTGTTCTGGGTTCAAATTCTGACTAGGCTACTTAGTAATTACCAGAGTCTCAATTTTCAAAATCTATGAAATGGTATGACTGTGACTATTTCCTTTAAGTTTAGGCAAAATGTTCTGTGCTCACTGGCATGTAAAAGGGAGTCCCTCCCCATTTCTCATCCACAGCTCTCTTCATTGCCACCCAAATTTAGGGTTGCCATGTAAAATAAGTGCAATCGTTGGAATACACTTTTACTAAATGATCCTGTTTCCCTGAAGTCTAAATTTAATTGGACATGCTGCTTTTGTTTTCCTAAATCTGGCAACCCTACCCAAAATACCTTGGGTCCAAGTGCCATGATAAAAATTGAAGGACTGAGTAAAGAGGTAAAATGGTGGAAGGGGCTGCCTCCTACTGGTGGAATGTGACAACAGCAACCATGCCAGCAATGCTGTATACCCTACAGGTGGCTTTCTTTAAAATAGCCAAGTCAGTTTATTTTGTTTATTAGATTCCACATGTAAGTGAGATCATGTGATACTTGTCTTTCTCTGACTGGCTTACTATGAACACAGACAATAACGCAGGAAGGCCTGGGGGTGCGGGAGCAGAGTAGAGGGGATCAGTGGGGATCTGTAATACTTTCAACAATAAAGATACATATTTTAAAAAGCAAAAACAAAATAAACAAAAACACAACACACTGACAATTATCATTGGACAGGAAAACAGCCACAGGAACATAGAAATCTTTTAAATTAAAAACTTAAATAAAAATAGCAAGCCAGCCAAAACCGGTTTGGCTCAGTGGTAGAGCGTCGGCCTGCAGACTGAAAGGTCCCGGGTTCGATTCCGGTCAAGGGCATGTACATTGGTTGCGGGCACATCCCCGGTTGGGGATGTGCAAGAGGCAGCTGGTCAATGTTTCTCTCTCATCAACATTTCTAGCTCTCTATCTCTCTCCCTTCCTCTCTGTAAAATATCAATTAAAAAAAAATAAAATAAAAATAAAAATAGCAAGCCACAAGACACCCTGTGGAAGAGAGATGAAGTTTTCAATACCCTTGCTAACATTTTAGTCTAAATTTATTATTACTGTAATCCTGCTATCTTTTAATTTTCACTGGTACCAATATACGTATATGTATATATAGTATTCACCTATGTTGTTTTATACTTTTTTGGTCAGGGTTAGTAGAATATTTCTGCACATTCATAACTTATATCTTCTTATTGGATTCCAGTCTACTGTGTGTGTGTGTGTGTGTGTGTGTGTGTGTGTTTAAATATATTTTTATTGATTTCAGAGAGGAAGGAAAAGGGAGAGATAGAAACCTCAATGATGAGAGAGAATCATTGATCAGCTGCCTCCTGCACACCCCACACTGGGAATCTAGCCCACAATCCGGGCCTGTGCCCTGATCAGAAACTGAACTGTGTGACCTCCAGGTCCATAGGCTGATGCTCAACCACTGAGCCACAGTGGCTGGGCTCTTGGTGTACGTTTTAAATTGTACACTGCCACTGACAAACCTCTTTAAAGTCACTGTCAGTACATGCATATTTATTTTCCCTTACCAACGTATAATGTGTTTTACATATATTTTAAATGCTGGCACGTGCGATAAGTAAAGCACTAGTACATAATAGGTACTCAGTAAAATTACAGCATTTTTTTTATTACTTTAGTGAGATCACATTAGCATCCTGTATAATAATCCTATATAATAAAAGGCTAATATGCAAATTTACCAAATGGTGGAACAACTGGTCCCTATGATGTGCACTGACCACCAGGGGACAGACGCTCAATGCAGGAGCTGCCCCTGGTGGTCAGTGCGCTCCCACAGAGGGAGTGCCACTCAGCCAGAAGCCAGACTCAAGGCTGACAAGTGCAGCAGTCAGCAGCACTAAGGATGTCCAACTGCTGGCTTAGGCCCGCTCCCCCTAAGCCACATGTGTCAAACACAAGGCCCGCGGGCCAAATCCGTCCCGCCAGGCCTTGCAATGTGGCCCACACTGCGCTGTCATCACTGCACTCCGCTGCGTTTCCATCACAATGACAGTTTATGACTGTTTAGTAAACCATTCGGCCCGCGATTTAGGCTGGATTTTAGATTTTGGCCCCTTCTCTGATTGAGTTCGACACCCCTAAGCCATCAGTCGGACATCCCCTGAGGGCTCCTGGACTGTGAGAGGGTGCAGGCCGGGCTGAGGGGACCCCCCCTCCAGTGCACGAATTTCATGCACAAGGCCTCTAGTAGTGTTATAATAGAGGAGTTTGGTGAGGTGCCTCCTAAGTAGTTCCTAACAACAAGGACAAAAGAGGCTTTCTGAATGTGTTCTCCAGCAGGAGCTCAGAATATCCAAAAGCTTCCAGCAGGCACTAGCTCTCAGGCTTCCTCAGTTGAACGGTGGAGGAAATGAGCAGCAGCTGCTTCTTTCACTCCCACTCTGCAGCCATCTGAAACTCACCAGTGGTGATCACAAGGTCTCCCCTTCTTCACCTGCTTGGTTAGGAGGCAAACACCTGTGCTTAGCCCAGCAGTTGCATTCGCCAGAGCTCTCTGTCCTGGTTCCAGCCCTGCTCAATCGCCTCACACTTTGCTAACAAGCTTACCTCATCTTCAGGAGCACAGCTCTGTCTCTGCGCTGAGAAGCCCAGGTCAGGCCATGAAAGAAAAGCCACCAAGGCAGGAACAGAGGTTTTTTTTCCTGGCAAATGCTTCATCAGGTTTCACCAGGGACCAGTTCAGGAATTATTGCCTGCCTTTTCACTTGGTGTATTGTGATCATTATGCATCATTAACAGCAAATTCTTCTTTTATTCTTATCACGTAGGCACGCCTCTCACCTCAGAAATGGAACCGGGATGCAGGGTGGAGCGGTTCCTGCAGAAGCTGGGCAAAAAGGCTGAGGACGCGTGTCTAGATCTGAGTAACTGCGGGCTCACGACCGCGGACGTGAGGGAGACGGGTCGGTATGCGGGTGACTTGGCACTGACGGGAACGAGGGGCTGTGGGTGGAAAGGAGCAGGCAGGTGCTCGCTTCGGCAGCACGTACACTAAACTTGGAACGACACAGAGAAGATTAGCATGGCCCCTGCCCAAGGATGACATGCAAATTCCTGAAGCGTTCCATATTTTTATAGAATCAGGGGCATAGAAGGAGAGTGGACTGACAGTTCTTGGGGGAAAAGGGATGTGAGGGGTGCGGGAAGAGACTGGACAAAAATCATACACCTATGGATGAGGACAGTGGGGCAGAGGGGGGGGGATTAAGAGCAGAGGATGAGGTGGGAACCGGGTGGAGGGGAGCTATGGGTGGAAAAAGAGGAACAACTGTAATAATCTGAACAATAAAGATTTATTTAAAAAAGAAGAAGAAGAAGAAAGAAAGAAAGAAAAAGAAATGAGCAGGCAAAATACACTCATTAGTCACTTGCTAACCCAAGGTCTGAGGGTGGCCCCAGATTACTCAGAAACAGCAGCTGCACTGCTAATTTAAAGGGGAAAAAAAAAAAAGTTAATGTATCCTTTCTCAAGCTTCAAAGATTTCAGTGGAGGAAGTTCATTTGTTTGTTTTTCCTGAGCAATTTTACCTCCCTACTGATTGCCTCTGGCCCCCTGCAAAACATCTGTTCTTATACAGGATATAAACCCATCAGACTCAGACTAAAACAGAGCCTTCTTGGGAATTTAAAGGGGTACTGTGCTATTTGGTTGTCTGTGGAGTGAAAAGTACAACTGCCAGCAATTATTGCATATATATATATATATATATATATATATATATATATATATATATATATATATATTTCTAATTGTCTAAAGTTTTACATGTCTCCTTTGTTTATATTGTTTTGTACACAAAGTATTGCTACCCTTTATTATACCTAAGCAGGAGTGTAATTGTGAAGAACCCTGTGCCCACACCACCATCACCACTTTTCCCCCCTCTTATGGCCAGATACCTTAAATTAAGCCTTTAATCAAATTAGATGCATCAAAGATACCAACAGAGATGAATCAAAGAACTGCGTTGTGAACGAGGAGTCCCTGGCTGTTTTAATGAAAACCCAGGCCGTTATGACTTGGACAGTGCTCTGGAAGGGAGCCCTAACCATGCCCGTGGGTGTCCAATGCCCGCGTGTCAAGATCACTTGTGGAGCCAGAAATGCAGGCACTTGAGTCCAACCCAAACCCACTGAATGGCATCTCTGGTTTTATTTATTTTTTTTCCATTCTAATATGTTCAATAGACTTAGGCTTTATAAATTTAGGATCATTGTGAACATGCTTTTTGGGGAAAAAATGTATTTTTGTTGATTTCAGAGAGGAAGAAAGAGATAGAAACATCAATGGTGACAACTAAATCATTGGCTGCCTCCTGCATGCCCAACACCAGGGATTGAACCCACTACCCGGGCATGTGCCCTGACCTAGAATCAAACCATAATCTCCTGGTTTGGAGGTCAATGCTCAACCACGGGGCCACGCCAGCCAGCTGAACATGCTTTCCATGCTGGTGAGAGGAAAACAATTTTCCACTCTAACCATGGCCTCAGCATTCGGGAAAGCTGGGCTTGTGTGCCAGTAATGCAGAAGCTCAGCTTGCTGTTTCTGACTGCTGCCTCCACTTTAACATTCAAGACACGTTTAAAAGCAAAGATGCTTTACCGCCTCTGTTGGCATTTCCCCTCAGAAGTCTTGTTGTTGGGTCAGGAGATACGATGGCCTTGGAGGGTCCTTTTCCCAGAGAGCGATGTCACTTTTTTTTTTCTTTAAATGTACCTTATTGATTTTTTATGGAGAAGAAGGGAAAGGGATAGAGAGTTAGAAACATTGATCAGCTGCCTCCTGCACACCCCCTACTGGGGATGTGCCTGCAACCAAGGTACATGCCCTTGACCGGAATCGAACCTGGGACCCTTCAGTCCACAGGCTGACACTCTATCCACTGAGCCAAACTGGTTTCAGCTCAACTTCACTTTTAATGAGCAGTAGCAGAGACTCAGAGAACATTCTCATCAGGCTGTGTGCCAGTCTAAGTCTCCATATGTTAGTCCGTTTATGTATTACAGCAGCTTTTTAAGGGGTGATGCCCAGGTAACCAAGATTTTAAAAAAAAGAAAGAAAGAAAACGTAAGAGGCACCTGTAACCTCAGCAATCCTACCCCAGAGAGCCGTCCCCAGGCCATCAGCCTGAAGGAATAATAGGATGACTGACTGATGGATGTCAGAGTGTTTTGCAAAGTACAAGGACCAGTGCACACTTCACAAGGGTGGCAACAGTAGAATTACCTTTTCCTCCGCAGTAGTAAAGATCCTATGAAATCCTATAGAGACACCACTGTACTTTCTTTCTAAAAAAAATTTTTTTTATTGATTTCAGAGAGGAAGGGAGAGTGAGAGATAGAAACATCAAGGATGAGCGAGAATCATTGATCAGCTGCCTCATGCATGCCCCCTACTGGGGATTGAGCCCGAAAGCTGGGCACGTGTCCCTGATTGGTAATCAAACTATGATCTCCTGGTTCATAGATGGATGCTAAACCACTGAGCCGCCCCGGCTGGACACCACTGCATTTTCAGAGTGAAATTATTTGGCAAAAATAGAAAACATCCCAAGAAATAGAAAATGTAAACATCATAATCTCTCTAATTGCAGGGCTGGGAGACCCCAGAGAGAGCCACATGCCCTCGTCCCCTTATTCTCTGACAGTACCAACCTATGTTCTGTGCGTACAGGCAATGGAGCCTACTGACTGCACATCACGACTTACTTATGCCAATCTGTATGTTCTTTTGTTCACGTCTAGTCACTTTGCTGCCTTTCCTCCCGGACCTAGAAACACTGGACCTTTCCTGGAATGATTTTGTGGGTGGAACCCTCCACTCAATCATGGAGCAAATGCATCTTGTCAGCAAGTTAAAAAGCCTGAGGCTGGGGAGTTGCAGGCTTACCACAGAGGATGTCCGAGCGCTGGGTATGATGAACGCTTCTCGTAAAAGACTTCACTTACACACCTTGGCAGCCCGGCCCTCAAGGGTGAATTATCTGGGTCCGCACACCCTCGGTGCTCACGGAAAGTGTGCTGGGCCTGAGGCGATGTGCGTGATGCCTGTGGTGTTGAGCACTAGCATGACTTCTAAAGAGCCACGTAGCCTTACCTGGCACTGTGCTCATTCCTGGGACAGAGAAGGAAACAAGGCTGACCAGGTACCTACTCCTATGGGGTTTAAATGCAGATCGTTCTAAAACCGGCTCACTTTGGGTCTCTTACCTCATCTGTAAAATGGAGTTGAGTAGATAACGATTAGATTCTTCTCCAACTCCAAAATAATTTCTTCTATTTTTCTACCTCTATTTATATTTATTTATTTATTTATTTATTTTATTTTTTTACAGAGAGGAAGGGATAGAGAGTTCAGGGCAGTGAAAATCATCCAAAGGTCCACCCTCCTCCCCCGCTTCCCCTGATCTCTCCCAGCCTCCACGCTATAGCCAGAGGGAGCTTCCCTGAGTGAAGTGGTTTCAGAAATGTCATTGCACCCCTTTCTCCTTGTGAGCTGTTAGTGCCTGACGCTTTGTTATTGGTTCTTCTCTGCCGTGGTCGGTTCCATTGTATGTGACACTGTTGACGTCAAAGTGAGATTTCCCCCTTGGGGGCCAGTGCCTGGCTTTGTCTCACTTCTACCACCCGTCTCAGCATTGCTGCTCCCAGAGAGGGTGGGTGAGAGAAAGTCAACTGCTGCTCTTGAGTCACATGCGGCTCTTTGGCCCCTTGAGTTTTTAGCAAAGGCTTAGGAGTACCCTAATTAAGTTAACCTATATAGTTTAAGTTTTAAAAAAATTGGCTCTCCAAAGAAATTTCAGTCGTTGTACTGTTGATATTTGGCTCTGTTGACTAATGAGTTTGCCGACCACTGGTCTAGTACACGTTTACTACCACAAAAAAAAAAATCTCAGTAAGAAATACCTTATGAACAGGTGAATTTTTAAAAAAGCAACCTGTGCTCCTCAGCATGGCTGCAGAGCTTTGGAGGGAGCAGTAGTCGGTGCCTGTAAATATGGAAGCTCCCCCTGCTGGGAGACGGCGGGAACTGTGTCCCCTTCTCTGTTACTGGTCACCTAACCAGTGACACCTGACTTGGCTTCCACAACCATAAATAATGGGATTTTCAAGTGCATTCTCTGCTTTGCAGACCTAGTGATCAATCTCCGGGCCCCTCTGTGACAGGAGCAGCACTGAAAGCGCTACCTGACCTTGAGGAGCTGACTTTGTCCTGGAACAGTAAAGTGGGAGGAAATCTGCCTCTGGTCCTCCACAAGTTCCCGGCCGGGAGCAAGATCCGAACGCTGGAGCTGGTGGACTGCGCCCTCACCTCTGAAGACGGGGCATTTGTGGGTAAGTGGAGTTTGGAAGAGTTCTTTCCAAAAATTAAAATTAAAATGTGAAGATGCCCATAATGGAGTAGCTTGGAAGTCCAAGTTGGCTGTTTTCTCTTTACCCTGAATTGCAAGGTGGCTCACTCCATCCCTGGGTTCCCAGGAGGCTGCGTTCCCCGCCTGCCCACCCCAACTCCCACCCCTGCGTGTTCACTGAGTGGCCCTTTTTTTGTTTGGATTTCCTTCCTTCCAGGTCAGTTGCTACCTCTGCTGCCAAGTCTTGAAGTACTTGATCTTTCCATGAACAGAAACATTGGCGGCAGTCTGAACAACATTGCTCAGGGGTTAAAAAGTGCCTCAAATCTGAAAGTACTGAAGTTACAGTCATGTGGGTTATCCCAAAAGAGTGTCAAACTATTGGGTAAGTAAGCAGTGTCTGGAGTTCATATACATAATTTTATGTGGTTTTTTTTTTTTTAATGTGTGTGTATCATTTTATTTTATATTTAACTTTTTTAAACTATTAGGAAAAATAAACTGTAAACAGTGGTTATGTTGAGGAATAAGGTTATGGGTCATCTAAATCTTAAATGTTTTATGTACTTTCTTTTACCGGAAGAATATGCTTTCATGATTACAAAAATAACCTTTTTAGATGGCTGAATCTGAAAAAGCCAGTCTGTTTTAGGTTGGAGATAGATATAGGTCAAAATAAAAGTTTCTGGCCGAAACCGGTTTGGATCAATGGATAGAGC